GAAAGGATAAGCATGTTTTTGTGGATAGTCTTCAAGGGTAAACTCTTTTACAAATGAGCACAGGTATAATTGTTACCTCACTAGCTCACTTGCTTGCCCCTGCTATAGTGCAACAGTGAAAACTTCCTTACATATTCTCTGCGATTGTCAATTTGGAAGGTCATTGTGGGTTGCTTTAGGTGCTAGTGATTTGGAGTTCCTTATTGGTGATTTTACAACTTGGGTTCAACGCATCTTCAGGAAGAAAACATGGTGACATGCATATTCCCTAGGCGTTGGTGTTCCTTTTAGCTTTATGGTTTTTGTGGAAAGATAGGAACAAGTTTGTTTTTCAACAAGTATCCACCCCACCGCGTGCTCTTTGCTCTACTATTTTGCAGTACTCTCACTGCACTTTTATAGCACAAAGGTCTGGAGTTATTGTGAGACACAGGGACTTGCGATGGGTTGCTTGAAAGCCTCCACCTATTGGCTGGTATAAGCTAAATACAAACGGAGCACTCTCGCATGCCACGGGTCTAGCCACTATAGGAGGTTTAGTGCTAGACTCACTCAGCAAGTGGGTGCAGGGTTTCACTGTTAATATTGGCCAAACCTCTAGTTTTATGGCTGAATTGTGGGGAATAAGAGAAGGGATTTGTGCTTGTCAACTGCTAGGTACTTTGAAATTAATGGTGGAAATGGATTCAATGGTTGCATTTTAGTTACTAACTGGAGACAGAGTTCTTTGGGGTCCAACGAGTTCACTAATGGTTGACATCAAAAGTTTATTGGGGACTTTTCCTAGCTTTACTGTTGGCCATACTCTCCCTGAAGGTAACGCATGTGCTGATTATTTGGCTTTCTTGGGTCATTCAGCCCCTCCGAGCACTTTGATCTTGCAAGACTCCCCACCTGGGTTACACTGCATCTTGTTGGGTGATGAACTTGAAGTAACTTCCCCCTAGGATTTAATTTTAATCTTTACTGATGTACCAAAAAAATATATATATAGTACATCACATGATGGATTATATAATAAAAAATATATCTTCTTTTTTTTTTTCTATAATTTTTCCTCACTTGTCTTAAGATTAATTCAAAATCTTCAACTTAAAATCTCAAGATTTTAATTAATTGAAACATGTGAGCGAATTGCAATTTCAATTGTATCAAATTACAAAAAATGAACTACTAAATTAAAGTTTTTCTCTAATTGTATATTTGGTTTAAGGGGAATCGAGAGGAGGGGAGAGATTTTTGACCAATCAAATTGTAATATTTAAACACGTAATAATTTGATTGATAAAAGAAATCCTCCATTTCCCTTCTTTCTATTCCCTTCAAACAAAACATATTATAAATTCATTGGTTTGTTTTAAATTGATTTTTTATAGAGATAATGATATGCAAACAACCAAGTTTTACAACTTTTCTTTATAATTTTCACATGTTATTAAATAAATAAATTTATAAAATATCAAGGTTATCCATAAAATGAAAAGAGACAACAATTACATATAACATATAAAGTTGTATAAAAAAATTAGACACAAAACTTGTCTCCAATCATTTTCCTTGTAACAAAATCTTATCCTCAAGTTGGAGAACAATGGGTAAAGTAATTAGACAATGATGATTTAACCAAATTCTCCATACGTGGAAAGTATACAAAAATTTGCGTTAAATTGAATCTTACAAGGGAGCTACCTACAATTGTGTACACAAAAGGGTAAAGTTATTCGGTGACCTATGAGAGGCTTAATAAGATATGTTTGACATGCTGCATGTATGGCCATAGAAAGAAGGAATGCACCGTGAGGAAGGCCAAGAAGTCAAGTCAACAACAGCCTATGTTACACTCAAACAATCACCCAAGTAAGATAGAAGTGAGATATTTAGTGACACTAATGTCGGCTTGAAGCACACAACATATTACAACGGCAACAACACCACTGATGGGAGAAGTTGGACCATGGATGCTAGTCCAACGTCACCAAAAAAGGGAACCCAATCTAAGGAAGGTACTAGTCAAGTACACAATCAACAGAGAAATAGATCTTACAACAAATCACCCAATGATAATAGTTTTGCCAGTCTTGGTAAAGAGAGGGGTGAAATTTCAACCTAATGAGTCTTTAAAGGAAATCAAATTAAGGGAGGAAATCAAAATAAAGGAGGAAAGCAATCTATGAGGAATAATGGTATTGTTATTTGGGAAGGCAAAAACGTGAATGATGGAAAGACATAGTCAAATTTGTCAAGAATCGAGGATCTAGTCAAGTAACCACAAAGGTACTTAATCAAGTTACAAAATGGTAGCACAAAGGAAAATTAATTGTTATACCAAATAAAATGGGGGAGAAAATATTGGAGGCCTAAATGCTAGTGGGATAGGTGAGACATCCACAAGACAAATGGAGGACAAAGAGCCACCATAGGATTTTAGAGTTAAGTTATCAAAATATAGCCCAAAAAGAGCTACTAAGGAAAGGCCAAAGAAACTAGGAAGAGAATTACTTGTAAAAATAAGCCTAAATAAGCAAACTCATGTAAACAAAGATGCAACTACACCTTTAAATCTTCCTCCACCAAGCGTACATAAGGATGGGGGAATTTTTATATTAGGAAAATCTTGGACTATGACACCAATGGGGGTTCAATCACAGTCAAAGGAGATGCCTATGGTACAAAAAGAAAGAAGGAAATCGCCCATGAATGACCTGCTTGTGGAATAAGATGCAAACATGTCAAACAAGGGATATGTGGTACAAGCCGCTAACATTCTTAAAGAAGTGGATACTATAATTTTAAAAGCAAAACTTGAGAAGAACCATTAATAGGGGCATTCTCATTTTTTCACTTAATTTTTTAGTTTAATTATTTTTTTTATGGACTTAACGATTTTATTTGGGAATTATAGGTGTGTAGCTCGTAGAAGTTTTTTGAGATCGATTCGTAAGTTATTAATATTGCACAACCCTAATATCTTAATCATTGTCAAACCTAGAATTAGTGGAAGTATGGCAAATAATAGAATTTGTGAACTCATATTTGACAAGTTTGAGAAATTTGATGCAGAAAGTTTTTCAAAGGGTATTTAGGTTTTGTGGAAGGAAGCTATTGGTGACCTTACAATATTGTCTAGTTTCCATCAAGCCATTACATTCCTAGTACAACATCCTCAACGTCGACCTTGGTGTTTTTCAACCAAATATGCAAATCCTTTAGTTACTATATGTGAAAATCTATGGTAGCACTTGGAGAATCTTAGAAGTTGTGATGATCTACCATGGCTACTTATTGGAGATTTTAACCAAATATTTTGCAACGATAAGCACCTTGAGAGAAGACTCATGCGTACTTGGGGAACAGGCTTGATGATGAATTTCATGCAAACATGAGGTTTACTAGGTCTAGGATTTTTTTAGCTGAAAGTATACTTAGACTAATGAACAAATTGGTGGCCATTTATTAGTGAAGAGAATGTTGGTGAATGTGGATTGACAAGCTTTGTTTCCCTAGAGTTATGTCTTGTATCTTCCTAGATCAACTAGTGACCACTACCCAATCTTGTTAAGGATCAAGGGAGTTACTCAAATTGAAATAGTAGACCATTTAGGTCTGAGGCTGTCTGGCTTACACACCTTTTGTTCAAAGAGATGATTAAAAAAAGCAGGGTTTGAGAATATTCAATTATATAACATGTTGACTAGTTTCATGAGAATGGTTAAGGATTGGAACAAACAAACTTTTGGTAATACATTCCAATGTGAGTGCAAGCTTTTTACACGACTACTTGGTATTCAAAAGGCATTGGAAGTACAACCTAGACCCTCCTTATTTCATCTAGAAAATTGATTGATAAAAGCTTATAATGAAACTCTCTTACAAGAGGAAATTTTTTGGTGCTAAAAATCAAGATAAAAATGGGTTAGCTTTTGGGATTCTAACACAAGGTTTTTCCACAATATCATCATTGTCAAGAGAAAGAAACAACAGTTCATGGCTCTAAAGAAAGTAGATAATTCATGGTGCAGTGACCTAGTGAAGTTATGAGGAATGGTTGTGGATTATTTTCGAGCTTTATACTGGACAACAGAGTGTGTTGTGAATCCTACAAAAAGTATGAAGTTTGAAAGATTTGGGCACTTCAATGAAGTCCAAAAGCAGCAGCTTATGTCACCAATTACTGATAAGGAAGTTAAAGTTGCTATTTTCTCTATGGATGCATACAAGGCATTAGGTAGTGATGGTTTCCAACCAATTTTTTACCATGAAAATTGGGATGTGGTTGGACCTAGTGTGTGCCACTTGATTAAGAATGCTTTCAAAGATGGTGGATTTGAGAAGAGTATGAATGATACTCTCCTTTGTATCATGCCCAATGTCGCGCCCCAGAACCCAAATCCGAGGACGTGGCAGACGCCGTGCACCCGTGAACGGGTCCCACGAATGCACAAGGCTCGGAACTTATCCAAATCACAAAATCTCATGAATAAAATCAACCTTACAAAAGGATGATAAAATCTAAACTTATACCCCAATTAAATGGCTAGCCTTCTAATTCGTCACTCCCCTCGGTTTCCCCGTCCTCGGTTTCACTTCCTGAAATGGTGGACAAGGAAAATTATGAGATAAAATATATCAGTAAGTAAATATGAATAGCCCTTGGGTAAAACTTTTATCATGCCAGATAAACCATGTAAGTATAACAGAACTTTCACTGATAAACCGTTAATGCGGAAATCAAATTCGGTTCAATAGCAAAACGTTCAATGACAAAACCGTCAATGCAAAATCAGATTTAGTTCAATAACAAAACGTTTCCTGACAAACCGTTAATGCAGAAGAAAACTCAGTTCAGTAGTCTCATCTATAAGTCATGGCCAGTGTTATAACAACCCACTGGCAGGCAACAGAAATTTGCCAATGTATTCGCCCAGTGGCAGGCGTCATATCAGTAAACATGTCGACATGTGCTAGCGTTACACCCACTAGCGGGGATCAGAAGTGCTAGCGTTACACCCACTAGCGGGGATCAGAAGTGCTAGCGTTACAACCACTAGCGGGGATCGGAAGTGCTAGCGTTACACCCACTAGCAGGGATCGGAAGTGCTACACACCCACTAGCGAGGATCGGAGATCATGACCATATCAGAGACAAAACCATGCAGGATTCACAATCAAAATCCATAATTTCACAATCGAAATCCCAAATTTCAGAAATAACTAGAAAATTCCATGGGAACATGGATTTAACAGAAACCGCAGAATTTGCAAACTCTCAGTCCATCAAAACAGTTTAGTCAATTCCAAATAGGCATGCTCTATTCCAAAAAAACAATGAAATTCTCATTTTCATTTCAATCATGCTCAATTCCAGAAAAATAACGAAATTCTCATTTTCATTCCAATCATGCTCAATTCAAGAAAACAACGAAATTCTCAAGAAAATCAGCCAAATTCTCATTTCAGTTTAATCACCCTCAGATGCTGATAAAATCAATTTAAACCTTGCCACCATCTCAAAAACAGTTTAAAACATGCTTTAAAATCGAAGGGCTTTACCATAATTTACTTACCTCACTCACACAGGACAGAAGGCTAACCCAAGTGCTACGGTGACAGAACGATCAAAACCAGAATTTACAAGCAAGGAAACCGGAGCTGCAGAGAGAAGAAGCCGGCGGCAGTGCATGGGGAAGCTCACGGCTCCGAAAAACCAAAGGATCCACACCCAACAGGACCCGACGGACAGGGGAGGAAGAGACCGAGCAGATCTGGGGAAAATTCTGGGTTTAATAGGTGTCTAGAACAAGAAAATAGGGAGAAATCCCCAAGCTTGGCCGATGTTCCCGGCCGGAAAATGGGTGGCGATAGTTGGGGGGCTTCTCGGGTGCAGAGGGTCGGGGGGGCAGAGCATCGGGGAGAAGCAGAAGCAAAAACACGCGGCTGGTGAGGAAGAAAAGAAAGGGAAAAGAAAAAAGAAAAAGCAATTCATCCTTATCCTAATTTCCTTTCTTTTTAGTCCCTCACTTTTAAAAATTTTATGATTAAGCTCCAAAACAATATTTTCCCTCAAATAAGTCCCCAATTTAATGCTAAAATACCCCAAAATTTTGGGATATTACACCCAATGTGGATAATTCTGACAAGCGTAGTCAACTGAGGACAATTAGTTTTTGCAATGTAAGTGTGAAAGCAATTACAAAAATAATGGTTAATCAGATTAGGTCTTTTTTGGATGAAGTTATTAGTCCAACATATAGTTCATTTATTTCAAGGAGAGGTTGTCATGATCATACAATTAGTATTCAAGAGGCACTTCACTCACTTAAGAAATGTAAGGGGTGTGTGGGCAACTTTGCGTTAAAAGTGGATTTAGAGAAAGCATTTTATTACATTGGTTGGCGTTTCCTAAAATGGGTTTTACATGATGTTGGTTTTTCTAATTATTGGATTTCACTAATTTTATTTTGCATTTCAAAATCTAGAGTTTCTCTTTTGTAGAATTGAGAAAAAACTGAGTCTTTTCTTCCTTATAGGGGATTAAGGTAAAGTGATGCCCTATTACCATATTTGTTCATTTTTGGTTTGAACAAATTGCCACAAATCATTGAACAAGCAGTTAGGAATAGGATAAGGGCGCCATTCAAGATTATGCGAAGGAAGCCATCTATCTCTTACGTATTGTTTTGCAAATGATGAAGTTTTTTTTTTTTTTGGCAAGGCTATTGCCTCTAATATAAAAGTGATAATGGATTGTTTGTCTTTATTTTGCAATATGTTTGGAATGCAAGCAAGTCCAAAATCTTTTTCCCTTCCAATACCACCCAAAATGTGGTGCAAGAAATTACAAGGATCTCAAGGATGGAGGGTACTAATGATCTAGGGAGTTATTTAGGGGTTCCATTGCATTCTAAAAGTTTTACTAAAGCAACTTAAAGGGACATAATCTTTAAACAAAAAAGCAAGCTTTCTCATTTGAAGGCTTTGCAACTATTCTTTGCTAGCTGTCATGTCTTGATTCAATTAATTGCATCAACTATTGCTAACCATGTCATGCAAACAACTAAGCTTCCTATAGTAGTTTACTTGGAGATTGACAGGGCGAATTGTGAATTCTTATGGGGTGGTTCAACTGAGAAACATAAGGTTTCTTTAATGCAATGGGACGTAGTGTGCATGCCCAAAGAATTTGGAGGACTAGGGTAAAGGACTACATCCAACATGAACATGGCCCTTTTTGCAAATTTGGGTTGTAGATTAGCAACAAAGAGAAGTCCTTTGTGGATACAAATCTTAAAAGCTAAATACTTTCCTAACACAAATATTGCAGGCTGAAACTAGGAATAAAGCTTCTAATATGTGGAAAGAAATATTGGTAACTAAGAATTTGATTCAGACAAGCATAGGGCACCTAGTAAATAAGGAAAAGATATAAGCTTTTGGCTAGATTCCTAATTAGTTAATAGTTTGTTATTCTCCATAAAACAAACACTAATCTTAGATGTAGATTTTTATAAAATGGTGGCAGACTACTGGGGACTGGATGGATGGAAATGGGACATGTTGAACTATAATTTCTCAAGAATATTCTATGCCAACTTAGCTTATTTGCACTTGATGAATAGAGTCACCAGTCGAACATGCTATATTGGAGGAACAATGGTTTTGGTAAGTTCTCTACAAGTAGTGCTTATAAGTAAATATCTAATTTAAACTTTGATCAATTACTAGAAAACAAAGTATAATCGACGAACTTATAATTGACAACCAAAAATCTGTCAAATATAGTGATATAATCGACAAATTATCTGTCGATTATATTGTTTTCTAATGATATTAGATTTTCTCTTAGATAAATGACAGGCGGTATAATCGACAAAATATTTGTCTATTATGTCTATATTATCGACAAAATTTAGGCTGTCGATTAAATATAATCGACAATCATTACTTTGTCGATTATATATTTGGTATAATCGTCAAATTTTCTATTGTTTATGTTGAGAAACGACGCTGTATTGATTTTGCCTTGCATAACCGAGAGCCAAGGCTGTCGGTTATAGGCTTCATTATCCTACCTCGTCCCCTCTTTCTTCCCCATTTCTTCTTCTCGTTTTGTGGTCGATCTGGCTTCTTCTTTAGTAGGATGTGCCAATGTGGTGTCATCGACCACATCTCCACGCACATTGGTTTCATCCCTTTGCCGATGATGATGATTTTTCTCGTCTTTACGTTCATATGGAGTTTTTTTTTCCTTACAGATCTGTTCATTGACAATTGACTTTCTAAATTTCTTGTAGATCTATTCATTTCCCGCCCACAACACCACGTTACCAAGAGGATTGATCCGCCGCTGCCTTGCCTGCAAATTTGGATGTCATTCAATGGTTAGTTTTTTTTTTTTCTTTTTGTTTCCTTTGATTTGGATGTACAAGAAGGCATTTTTCTTATTTCTTGCAAATAATCTAGCCTTCATTGCCTTTAGCTCACCATCTCCACCATAGACCCGTTGCCTCCTCACCAGTTAGAATTTGAGTTTCTTCACCAAAATTTTGGATAAATTTCCCTTGGTTTTGGACTTATAGACCTTATATATTTTGTTCTTTTTACATATTAGTGATCCAAATTCATCCTTTACGTCAC